TCTGTAGCAAGGTACATGAGTTTATCTAAATACATCTGTTTTTCCTCTTTTTTTTCAAGACAAAGCTGTGTAGCTTTGCACCTTTCCTGGAACTCACTCTGTAGCCCAGGCTGGCCTCGAACTCACAGAGATCCACCTGCCTCTGCCTCCCGAGTGCTGGGATTAAAGGCATGCGCTGCCACCACCTCCCAGCAAAAATTTTTTTTTTTAAATTAGCCTTTAAAAATTCTGTCATAAACCGGATGTGGTGGTGCATGCCTTTAATTCCATGTAGAGGCAGATGAATCTCTGAGTTCAAGACCAGCTTGTTCTACATACAAAGTGACAGGACAGGCAAAGCTACATAGTGAGACCTTGCATTAAAAATAAATAAAATTTAGAAACTCTATAGTAAGAATTTTGTCTTCTGGAACCCTTTCTTAAAGGCAAAATGAATTAAATATTTATAGAGGAAATGGATTTTTGATAAAAATCAAATTTCTGAATATCAACAATCATAAAGTCAAAATATATAATTTAAAAAATGACTTGCTAAGCTGGAGAGGTGGCTGAGCAGTTAAGAGCACATGCTCCTCTTCCAGAGGACCTACTTGTTCAGTTCACAGAATCCAGGGCAGCTCATAGCTTCTAACTCTTGCTCTAAGTGGACCTGACACCTCTGCCTACTGAGGCACCTGTACTCACTTGCACATACCCCCACATACATATGCATAATTAGTAATAAAAACAAATTTTTTGAAATGACTATCTGAAATTACTAATGAATTTAAAGCACTATTTCAAACCAGAGTTACCACTTTATTTCTGAAAGGTAAAATACTTCCCAATTCCAGAAGAAATAATTACTGAGGAAAATCAACCATGGTTTGACTTTCCACCAGCATCCTAAACCACAAAAAGTAGCAGACAATGCTGTAGCCATTAAAGTCCACATATAAATAAAGGCTCTTATGCGGTAACAAACTGTGCTGCTGAATGTATTTTAATTCCCCACAGTCAACAAAAGAACATTTCCAAAGTGATATGTAGAATTGAGAGAATTAATAATATATGGAGCCATTCAACTGGTACACAGCTTCTATATTCCGAATCACTACTATTTACGAGTGGATTCGTACTACCCAATAGTCTGTTTCTCCATCCAGGTAAACACCCAAAAAATGTTAAGAATACCTAAAAACAATTATATGAAAGGTTTTAAAAGCACATACCTTGTAAAAGATACCTTGCACTCAAATGCACATTAATGCTTGCATGTAGACCAGATATAAGCCTGTAGAATGCTCTCTTTTCTACACAGAGGCCTAAAAGACATCAATGGTGCAAAAATAAAATTTTGTATATGAATCTTGGGAATTTAAGATTTCATGATATTAAAAATGAAAAAAATTATCATTTAAATTTGTTTAAAAGTTTCTAATTTACCTTCTAGCCAGCTGTAAAAAGTGTTCTCTGAAATTAAAAGAAAAATAAGTCATAATTTTTTCCTAACACCAAAATGTAAATTTTCAAGTGTCTTAAAGACTATTCCAGCTAAAGGTCCAAATCTTACAATTTCTTCAAAGGAAAAGGTTGTGTGTGGATCCAGGAAAGGACTGCTCTGTCCCTCAGATAAATGTTTTATGTGTTATCAAACTGTAGAGTTGGGAGTCTGGAGGAATGTCACTCTGTGGTGCATCACTTGGCTACCATGTTCATGACTCCTGGGTTCAATCCCTAAGACCTCTCTCCCACAAGAAAGAAAGACACACACACACACACACACACACACACACACACACACACACACACACACAATCTAGCAAGACTGCTTAACTAGATAAATTTTCATAGCAATCTATGCTTTGTTAAGAACTTTGACATACTTTTAAGTTAAGAGGAAACAAATACTGTAAGATGCTATTGCAGATGTAACAGAATTTCATGCAATTCACTACATCCAAAGAGCAGAAGGGCAGTGCTTAAAAACAACCGCTCATGTTCTGTGACCTAACAATACCACTGCCAATAAACTAAAGCTTAGTAATTCTGGTTTCAGAATTATGCTCTAAAGAGATAAAACGGGGAGAGGGAGAGGACAAGGAATCTGTAGAAAGGTTACTATTTTAAAGTCTCTAGTAATAAAAATTGATGGTAATGCCGGAGTTAACAGAATATTTAACTAGATAACATGGTAAAATTAACACAACTATTAAAACTAACATGAAAATATTTTAAACATTTTACAAAATATGTAAGAAATTACAGCATTCATGCAGTACTTGCTATAGCAATGATAAATACTATTATGTCAGAATCCTTTTATCTTGCTAAAGTTGTTTAAAATGGTATTATTATTATTATTTTGTGAGGGGAGGGGGTAGGCATTTGTGCTCAGGTCTGAAAGAATACATTTTAAGTAAAAAAAATTTTGAAAGCCTCCTCAACTTGACCTGACCATGGTGCAGGTAATTAATCACCTAATGCAGCAGCTGTCAGGAATACCCCTTTGCCCTGTGACCAAAATCAATGTAATACTTATGAATGAATCAGTTCTAAGGACTGAGGTCTCTAGGGATAAATGATCCTTTCTCTCATAAAGAGACAAATAGTATGCCAGACAAAGAAGCCTGTGTGTCTAGAATGTAGCACAGAACTCGGCTACTGCCCAAGGAGGCCAAAAGTTACAGGATCACTTCTTCAGTCCCAAACAGAGGCAAGCACCTGTGGGAAATACTGACTGCTAAGTATCTCCCTCCCACACTAAGTCACATCTGCTTTAGAATTTTATTTAGTGCCACAGTACTATTGCACTTTTCATTACAGTAACTATAGCAGCTAAATAAAACAAAATAATCAATTATTAAATGATAATAAAACAGTAATGCTACCAGAATTTCATACTCTGTCTTTTTAACATAATGCACAAATAGTTCAGAAAAATATGGGCTTCCAGGTGGCTCAGTAGGTAAAGGCATATGGCAGCATGCACCCACCACATACATACACTAAATAAATACACTTAATAAAAATTAAACATGTAAATGATGTCTAAAAAGTAAGAGATTTTGAGGAAGAGAGAAGATACTTTATGTTTAACATTTTCATCTAAATGGACTAAGGCCAAGCAAGTACTGACTCAGTTTCTTTGAACAGTGTGTCTGTCTGTGTACATGTCAGTACTGAGGATTTCACACAATGTGTGTGTGTGTGTGTGTGTGTGTGTGTCAGTACTGAGGATTTCACAGTGTGTCTCTCTCTGTCTGTGTGTGTGTGTCAGTACTGAGGATTTCACACAGTGTGTCTCTGTGTGTGTGTGTGTGTGGCAGTACTGAGGATTTCACACAGTGTGTCTCTGTCTGTGTCTGTGTCAGTACTGAGGATTTCACACAATGTGTCTCTGTGTGTGTCTGTGTGGCAGTACTGAGGATTTAAACTAGGACTTTTCACTCTTTCCCCCTTTTTTCTCACTTTTTATTTTGAGACAGGGTCTCACTAATTAATTCATTCAGTCTGTCCTGGAACTCATTCAGTAGCCCTGACTGGCCTTGAACTTGCAATCCTCCTGCCTCAGCCTCCCAAGTATCTGGGATTATTAACCTGTACCACAAGGCTGTTAAGTACATACATGGTCTTTAGAAAAGCAAAAAATTACTTCAATCTCACTCCTAAAACTAAAATATTCTTTAAAAGGCAAAGTAACCCTGAAATATATATGGAAGTTTAACATCCCTACCAGTGCAGAGTGGCAGTGATCGAGCTCTGGAGTCAATACTTGAAAAAGTGTCTAGACCCTCCCTGGTAAGACCCTCACAGCCCACGCCTCAACTAGCTAAGAAGAGACCAGGTTTCCACAGCTTGTGGGTCAAACACACAACTGAACTGCCAGAGGTTGAGGCAGGCTGTCCAGAGTGTGGGCCTCTAACAGGGGCCTCTCCCTCTCAGCTGCTCTTTCACCTCCAGCACTTCAGATAAAAAACTAAAATACAAATGAAGAGTCAGCTTGGTGGCCCATGCTTATCAACTGAACTCTTGAGACATACACAAGAGGACTGTCCGAATTCAAGAACACCCTGAGCTATATAATGAAGGAGCTCCAGGCCAACCTGGGTTATGGATATCTCTATAGAAACAAGAGGAGGAAGCAAGAAGAAATGCAGTTTGCCACAATAAACACCAGAACACACATCTGAACATACAACCAGACTTGACATATAATGCATGATAAAGGTACATACCTTTACTTTTTCCTGAAAAACAAAACAAAACATTAATTATTATAAACTACTTCTGCATGCTACACTTACATGAAAATAATATGCTAACAATGACTCATTTTAGTCCATCAGTGTATCCACGCAAGTAAAATCAATAGAAGGAGCACCCACAGCCAGCTCTGTCCAGCCGTGGCTCAGGCTCACAGAATCCCCACATGCTCAAAGGAGGGGAAAGGGTAGCATACTGAGAGCAGTCTGGGGTGCCCATGTTTATTTGGACAACAGCCTTTTTGTACCTTTATTATCCTAACACTATGAGATAACTTCTGTTAAAGGTCTGTATTACTGTTGCTTTGAATCCCTCAGCCTGACAGAAGATTTAACCTTGGGAATGTTTTCAAAGACTATAAAATGCAAATTTTTCTGTCATCTTCATTTTTTCACATTTTTCTTTTCTTTCTTTTTTTTTTTTTTTTTTTTTTTTTTTTTTTTGGAGACAGAGTTTCTCTGTGTAGCCTTGGAGCCTTTCCAGAAACTCACTCTGTAGCCCAGGCTGGCCTCGAACTCACAGAGATCTGCCTGCCTATGCCTCCTGAGTGCTGGGATTAAAGGCGTGCGTCACCACCGCCTGGCTTACTTGAGGGTTTTGTTTTGTTTCTTGTTTGGCTGGGAGTCAAGCCCAGGGACTGAGACATGCTGACCAAGCATTGCAGCATTAAACTTCCTCCCCAGTTTAAGTTTTTTGAAAAATGAGGTAAATGTTTGGAATATTCATTTATTTGGAGGATAAACAGAGCTGAAGTAAACAAACAACTATTTAGTGCATTGTAGAAAGACAATAAATCGGGGCTGGAGAGATGGCTCAGAGATTAAGAGCACTGACTGACTGCTCTTCCAGAGGTCCTAAGTTCAATTCCCAGCAGCCACATGGTGGCTCACAACCCTCTGTAATGAGATCTGGGCCCTTTTCCCACCTGTAGGGATGCAGGCAGAACACTATATGCATAATAAATAAATAAAAAATTTTTAAAAAAGACAATAAATCTATAACCCTAATCTTCATATTACAATGGCCTAACACCATGAATATCCTTGGGAAATATATCTGTGCCTCCACAGAGTGAGGCATAACTTCTCTGAAACAGTCAGTACCAGTGGACTACCTGCCCTCAACTGCCCTTGCTACTTAGCCTCGCCTTTCTCTTCACTCTAACCCAGTTTCACTAGCCAATAAACAGATGCAAATAACTCACCTTGACCAGAAGCCAAAGGATTTAAAGGCCGTTGAATTGTCTGTGGCCTACAAAGAAAAGAATTGTACTGTATGAACATCAGCGTTACCAACAATGTTATATCTGATTTAGAAAGTGACACGTGCTAGCGGAGCTATTGTCCCTGAGAGAATCGCACATGTGCATGCATATGTAAATGCATGCACATGCACACAAATGAATGCGCACACAAATGCACACATAGGTTTTTACCCCAAAGTTAGCTGGTACATCTTTAGAGCCTTCAGGTTTCCAAGTGAAGAACCTTAGCATTTTTCACTCACCCCGTGATCAACTTCCACTGCACTGGCTAAGAGTACAAAGAGGGTGGGTGCTTCCCCTGACACTGAACAAAGACCTAGCTTAAGCCTCAGATTCTCCATCTGTAAGCAGTCATGACTATAACAAATTGTCACCGTGAGAACTAGAGGAGCAATGCCCGTGCCGTATTTAACACAGTGCACAGCATACAGTGAGTACACAGAAAGGTGACCTTGGAGCTGCTCTCTGAAATCAATTTAACTTGAAGAGGATAAAATACTGTGGCCAAAGAAAGAGCAGAGAGTAACAAAAAGAATCTTAAACTGTAGATTATAATCTATACCCTATCATTGGCTATAGTGATCTTGGTAAATGAAGCAAAGCCCCTGGTTCCCAATCACTTCATCTACATAAGGAGATCCTGTAATCCACTCAGGAATGTTGCTCAGTGGTTCCAATACCAAAAAGGTCTAATATTATCTAAGTCTTTAAAGAAGTATCTGTTGCAGCCGGTGCCCCAGGGGAAATGGGATTAATGACATTTAAGCTTCTATGTCCATATTAATCTTAAGAGCATGAACCTGATTTTCACAAGTCTAGGAAAATAATGCGTACTTAAAACAGTTTTCTTCATAGATGACACTCCATATCCTCCAAGCATCCGGCCCCTTGTAGCCTGTGTAGCGCTCAGGGTTAAGGAGTAAATCCACATACTCAGCATCAGGGGACTGTATGTCTGCAAAATAAAATGTTTTACCAAATCTTACCTGTTTCAGAACAACGTTTTAGGAAAAAGGAAAATAGGGAGAAACAAACAGCCACATTCACTGTTCACAATGGCTGCAAAAAATTCTGATCTTGTAAGTGGTAAAAACAGGAATACATGAATTTTAGAGTTTAAGAAAACATGTGAGTTGATGCTCACAAACTATCCAAACAATGAGTCTGTTTCCATCCACATTAGCACAGCAGCTCATCACTGACTATCGGAAATGAAGAGAGTGTTGCCCAGTAGGAGAGCAGCCAGCACAGGCAAAACCACGTGTTTGATCCCAGGAAGTAGAAAAGGAAAAAAGCTGGGCAGTTGTGGAGCAACTCATTAATCCCAGCACTCAGGAGGCAGAGGCAGGTAGATCTCTTCGAGTTCAAGTCCAACCTGGCCTATAGAGTGAGTTCCAGGACAGCCAAGGCTACACAGAGAAACCTTGTCTCAAAACCACCCCGCACCCCAAAAGAAGAAAGAAAAAAGTAAAAAGAAAAATACACTATAAAATCCCATAGACCCGACAGATACATATATCAAAACACGGCATGTATCCCACTACAGAAAACTTTTTTTTAAGTCTTTCCCTTTTTTGGGAGGGGGTTGCGGGGGTTGAGACAAGGTCTCACTATGTAACCCTAGTTGTCCTGGAACTCAAGAGGGGTGCCCCTGCCCCTGCCTGTCTCTGCCTCACTGGAATTAAAAGCATCTACCATCAATACCCAACTCTTTTCACAAACTTTTTAAAAGTTCATTAGTCCACTAATAAAGAGCCATAGAAGAATATAAAAATTCAAATTTGATTTAATTTTGCTTGGCCAATTCAGAGGTGAACAACTCAAATAAAAAAAAGATACTAGAAAAAGAATTAAATCAATAAATCTTAATCAAAATCCTAATGTGTTCTAAGGCTGCCAATTTTCAGCACCAGCTACAGACAAGATGTCATGGTTCAATATTCTCTGCACCAAAAGTCACAGAGACCATCAACATGGAAAAGGTTAACAGTCCAGCAGCATTTACAGAAGACATGTTCCTCATTCCCCCATTTTAACTACTTTTGCAAAATGCAAGTGAAAGAGAACTATTAACTACTTGGTACATATAACTGCAAAACCCAAGAGGTAATTTTTTTTTTATAGAAACTATTTTTAAATTTTTTTTTTTACTGTGGTAAAAATAGGTATCATGAATGGCCATTGCCATCATTGTCAGTGAACTGTAAGTTACGTTCACAATGCTATGTGTAATCACTGCCACTTTCTGTTTCCAAAACTTTTCCATCACCCTAAACAGAAACTGATTATTTAACAATTAACTCCCCAGGACATCTACTAACTGCTAATCTCCTTTCTGTTGCTATGACTTTGCCTGTTCCCGACAGTTCACAGTGGATCATACCACACTTATCTTTGTGTCTGGCTTCTTTCACCTACCATGTTTCCAGGGTTCTGGAACACTGTAGCCTTTGTTGGAAGCTCATTCCTTCTTACATGGCTCAGTAGTATTCATGTGTATTTATGTGATATATACAGAACACATTTCAATTATTTTTGCACCTATGATAAACACATAGACCATTGTGCCTCTTATGAATGAACATTGGTCTACCTGTGTCTGAGTCTTTCCCAAATTCTGAGTTACACGTCTGCTAAGTCAGTCCCATGAGTCCATGTTTAGCTTTCTGAGGACCCTTCACACTGTTAGGACTAAGGTTTTAAAAATAACTAAAAAGAACTGAGGGGCAGCATCCAGAGTAGCTCTTTGGTAAAACACTTGTCTGGCATATCCAAAGCCTGAGTTTAATGCTTAATACAATGAAGAGGAGCGAGGGAGACAAGGAGGGCGAGAGGGAGGGAGGGAGGGAGGGAAGGAGGGAGGGGGGGAAGGAGGGGGGGGCAGGAGAGAAGGTAGGCTGGTGGTTTGGATTTTTCTTAAGACATTACTGGGAACATAAGGCAGACTTTCACGAACATCATACCGTCAACTTCACAGAAGCTGTCTGAAGAATCATCATGCTTGGTCCACTGAAGGACGGCCTTCTGGGTTTCCTCACTTCAAATAAGGACAATTGCATTATTCTTTTTTCCAGTCAACTGGGACCAAGAAAAACCAAGTACTTGAAGAGCAAATCACCTCAGAGATTCATCCACTGCTCCAAGCCGCTCAGCTTGTTCACATTCTTCAATGAGGTTAGCTTCTTCAGAATACTAAATGGAAAGAAAACAGATTTACTACATTTTAAAACTGCTGCTTCCGTTTTTTTGTTTTTGTTTTTGAGGCAGGGTCACATAACTTCAAACACATAATTTCCCTGCTTTAACCTCCTGAAGTGGTGGGATTACAGGCATGAGCCACACAACCTTAAGAAACATTTTTCAGAAATTAAAAGTTAGACAAGGCTCATGCTACTTGCCACTATCAACCAGGCTTCAAAGTCTATAAAAAGAGCTCTATTTGTTTGTTTGTTTGTTTGTTTGTTTGTTTGTTTGTTTTTGAGACAGGGCTTTCTCTGGATAGCCCTGGCTGTCCTAAAACTCACTCTGTAGACTAGGCTGGCCTTGAACTCAGAGATCCATGTGCCTCTGCCTCCACCTGGAATAAAATGAGCTCTCACATCCAAAAGTACGTAAGAGGCTTTTTTGTCTCATTTTTGTCGGAAACACAATTCACTATTATGTTCACAAAATAAATATCACACTGGCAAATAGTGACTAAGATGTGCACAGGGAAAAGTTTCTGAGGTACATGGGAGTTATGAGGTGCACAGGAAGGCAGAGTCCTAGCGACCTGACGAAGCGCCAGCTCCCCTGACTGCCGTGCTTGTACGTATGTCTCAGCTTCTTCTCATTCTGTAATTGGAAGAGCACCTTACAGAAAGGATGCTAATAGCTTTAAGTATTTCAAACACATGCTTTAACTACCCTATTTCTTCTTGACATCTAAACAGGCACACATACATTTCTTCCTAGTGGGTCTGTGCACACCACCGACCAAGCTCATGAGTCTTGATAACATCGCCATTAGCTGGTAGGATTAGAATCAGAAGGCCACAAATAAATGTTTACTGAACACCAACAACGGCCTTGTTAGGATGACCATAAGAATTTCTGACCACGCTAGGACACTGTAAAAACTAAAATGACTAAACTTTTAGGGAACACTAAATAACCGAAGTGATCAGATTGTTTGAAATATTATTTATTGACTGACAACTGTGATATTAGTTAATATGTAAGACAGTTCAACTCCAAAAAAACTTCTTGAAACTCAATTCTTTTATTCATAGTTAAATATTAAAGAGTAAAGATACACAATCTACTTGACCTGCAATCCAATAGCTCAGAACATCTACATAGAAAACGTATGACAAAACAAATTGCTAAATATATGTAACAATCAGGGACTACAGTATACAAAATGTTTTTATGTTAATCTTATAATTTTGCTGTAAGCTGGAAACTATTTCAGATGAGAAATGGCATGTTTAATGTGGTATGGCCATAGACTTAAAATTATGTCAAAAGAAAATTTCAAATAAACATGAAAGGCCCCAAGAGCTGGTCCAACAAGTAGACACACTTGTCATGTAAGCCTGATGACCTGAGCTTGCTCCCCAGAGCCCATATAAGAAGCCAGATGAAGCGGCATCTGTCATCGCAGCACTCCTAGAGCAATGCAAGGCAGAGACAGATGTGACCAGAAACTCAAGAATCAGCTAGCCTGGAAGATGATGCCCAGCCTGCAGAGATGAGAGGCCCTGGAAGATGATGCCCAGCCTGCAGAGATGAGAGGCCCTGGCCCCCAGCCCCATACACATGCAAAACAACTTAATACGATTTTAAATGTATTTAAAAAAAACACATCATATACATACATACATACATACATATATATATATATACACAGAAACTTATAAACGCTTATCTGAATTTTTTAAGTTAAAGTAACTTCTCAGTACCATTTAGTAATTTAATCAGCTTCTTAATTATATTTATCATTTTACTAAGTTATGGAAATGTTTCTGAAGAACATTTTTTCCAATAGTTTTTTATTTTAAATTTTCTATAAAACTGATCACAATCATCTTCAAAACTACGTTTTACGATTAATCTATTATCAATAACCTCAGCTGGCTCCTCCCCACAGGTATTTTCTAACTGGGAAAACACTCGTTGTATATAAATACATGTGATGTTTTAACCCAAATGTTTCATAAGTTCTATTCTTTGAGAAAATTTTGAATGGCACTTCCTTAATTCTGAAATGCTCTAATTTTGCATTGCTCTTAAACAAAATGATTTATCTGAGTTTGTCCTTAAAATGATTGGGAAAATGGAGTAGGAAATACACATGAAGCAAAACTGGCCATTACTAATAACTGCTGAGTAATGGGTAAGTGCGTTTCCATCCACTGCTTTCACTTACATGTTTTTATATATGTATATACATATATAAAGACATTTTTTTTAAACGAAGAGAAGCTATTGAATATGAACTAAATTTCAAGGTATCTCACTGCAGAGCAGGGAAATGGATTTTCCAAGATTTTCAGTCACATCAGTAAGTGTATGTGCATACCTTGTAGCTTGCAGACTTAATTCCATCAGGAACTTCATCCTGAAAAAGAAACATGTTTATTCTATCTTCTGACAAAATATTTTAAATTCTTATGACTTATGAGAAAAATTCACAAATTACTGGAGACCATTTTTAAGTGGGAAGAGTTTTTAATTTTAAATAATTTCTTTAAAGTAAATAAAAATTCAACAGGTGTGGTAGCACACAGCTTTAATCCTAGCAGTCCAATAGTATCTGTCTGAGACCAGCCTGGTCTATGTAGCAAGGGCAATGAAATAAGATCTTCTCTCAAAAAATGAGCAAATAAAACTCAAGGCCCATGTATTGCTGGTCATGTACTGTACCATGGAAACACAAAAATAGTTACAAACATTCTATCTCTCTAGTGGTGCACAATACAAATGCAGGTACACGGGCTGATGGAGGCTGTGGGAAACATCCCAAAATCCGTGCGTGCTCCTTAGTCACTCTTTCGTCCCTGTAGTTCACCCTATTAGGAAGAATTAGGATGAAGCGCAGGCCTGTCTGCAGGGAGTGGAAATATTTCATTCCCTCAATGTCACTTGAGTACCTCTGGGTCCAGCGTGTCTCTGCTCTTAGCATGTGTAGTTCAGACACTTTGTAACTGGGCTGTGGTACGTGTGTTGAAAGGGTCAATTAGTGCTTCTCCTCTCTTCTAAACCACAAACTCAAGGGCTAAGCTTATATACCCAGACCTGGCACGCTCACACAGAATATCAGTTATTCAAATTACATGTTAAGCCAGGGTGGCGCACGCCTTTAGCCCTAACACTCGGAGGCAGGTCCAGGTGGATCTCTGTGAGTTCAAGGCCAGCCTGGTCTACAGAGTGAGATCCAAGGCAAGCACCAAAACTACACAGAGAAACCCTGTCTCGAAAAAAACAAACAAACAAAAAACAACAACAACAACAACAAAAAAAATCACATGCTAATTGAGACCTTTACCAGTCTCCACTTTCCTCTCTCCTGCCTCACAAAACTGTGTTATCATTCTAAATCATGCCATTTCTCTGCCAATCTCATATATTTATAAAAGAAGAATATTTTGAGGTGGACATGTTTTTCTTTTTTTAACCTTTATTATTGATTTATGAAAGTTTCATACACATAAGGTGCGTTCAAGGATCACTTCCACGTCTCTTACTCCCCTCCTCACTGCAAAGCCCCTTCCTACATTCATGATTTTGTTGTTTTTGTTTTCTTGAGACACACTGGGTTTAACCAGGTCATCTGCAGGACCGTGAGTCAGGGACTATGAGCTGGAGCCTAATGTGCTCTTCAGTGGGTAAGAGTGAAGGCAGTGGCTGCCCCGCCCCCAGAACCCATCAGTGGTCACTGGCTCAGCAAGAAGATATCATGGTTTTGGTTTTGGGTTTTTTTGGTTTTCTGAGACAGGGTTTCTCTATATAATAGTCCCAGTTGTCCTGGAACTCACTCTTGTAGACCAGACTGGCCTCAAACTCAGAGATCCGCCTGCCTCTGCCTCCTGAGTGCTAGGATTAAAAGCGTGCACCACTGGTGGTATCACGGTTTTTAAAAGGCAAACATATCAGCCTACTGGACTACTGGATTCAGGCATTTAGCCCTCATTCTGCAGAAGCTGAGTCTATATCTTACCACAGTTCCTCAGACACTAGTGACTTTAAATTTCCCCAACTACTTTTACTGCTATTTTACAATTATCAAAAACGTAAGTGTAAGAATTTATAAATTAAATACTTAAATTGATAGTATCTTAATGATATGCCAGACTTCAACGTAATGCTTTGAATGTTCCCAAAAGGCCCAAGTGTTAAAAGCTTGGACCCAGGGGACACCTGGAAAGGTAGAACTTTTCAGAGGTAAAGAAATACGAACTCTTAGGTGCCACTGATAAAAACATATAATCACTATGGAAGACAGTTTTGTAATTCCTCAAAATTTACAATGACCACACAATCCAACAAACCCACTTATAGATATATACTAAGAAAATCTTAAGGGCTGGAGACGTGCCTCAGTGGTATAGATGTATTGAATAGCAGCAGATGAATGGATATATATTACTATAGATAGTATAGCAGTAATGGATTTATATACTAGATATAAATCTAGACATTCAGCAACACTCTGATTCACTCTTAGAACACAATTCAGATATATGTTATGATATGTTCTATTTAAAAGCAGTACACTAAGTGAAATAAAACCAGCTATAAAAGTACAAATTATATAATTCCCTTTATGGCAAGTGCCTAAAACAGTCAAACTGATTAAGGAAAGAAATGTATGTGTATATATATATATATATATATATATATATATATATATATATATATATATACACACACACACACACACACACACACACACACACACACACACACACACAAACAGAATGGTGTATATATACACACAAACAGAATGGTGGTGGCCAAGGATGAGAGGGGACGGGTAGTGTTTAAGCAGCATGGTTTCAGCATGCGAGGATTGGAAATGGGCACTGGCGATGGCTGCACAATATACGTGTACTTAATGCCACTGAATGTCAGCTTAAAGTGGTTAAGGGACACACACAATAAAATGTGAAATGAAAATAGAGACATTTTTGGTAGTGCTCAGTATCAGGGCAATAGGACCTCATACACGCAGGGCAAGAGCTCCGCCCCTGAACTACACCCCCGGTCCTATAGACTTGTAAAAACCTGCATCATTTAAAGGTGTAAAACAGAAAATCTCTGCTTTCACAGTAGAATGCTTCAAACTTCAAGAGGAAAACAAATATCAAGCCAAAAGAACAATCTCTCTAATAAATCAAAAGATTGTATTACCGGGATAGGCAGTGAGGGAACCAATGTGGAAGGAATCCCCTAAACAAAAAATGATACAGGGCCAGCAAGACGGCTCAGGCCTGAGCGCCTGAGTTCAGTCCCGGGAACCACACAATGGGAAGAGAGGGCTGACTCCAGCAAGTCGTCTTCTGACCTCCACAAGGGAGAGGCATGCCACCCCCTCACCACCAACAAATAACATAATATAAAAATTAATATACTGACTTCATAAAAAACAAGCGTATTAATCATAAAAACTTAATTCTGCCAAAACAAACAAACAAACAAACAAACAAACAAACCTGGCATAATGGTGAACACCTTTAGTCCCAGCACTTGGGAGGCAGAGGCAGACAAATCTCTCCAATTTGAGTACAGCCTAATCTACATAGTGAATTCTAAACCACCAGGGACTACACAGTGAGAGATCCTGTCTCAGTAATAATAATAATAATAATAATAATAATAATAATATTTACATGTAATTTTATATATTATATATTGTTGTTATTATTTTACCATGAAGACAGTGTAATTCAAAGTAGATTTTACGAGGCCGGGAGACAGCTCAGTCAGTAAAATAACCCCCAACAGAAACATGAGAACCTGAGTTTAGATCCTAGCATCGAGTAAGAAGCCATGCGGGAGGCAGCCCCTGCAAGCCCAGAGCTGGAGAGGCAGGGCATCCTGCCTCAGCAGTGAACCCAAGGGTCAGTAAGAGACTCCATCTCAGAACTAAAGGGGAGGGTGACAGAGGAAGGCGCTTGATGTCAGCCTCTGGCCTCCCTGCCACCGTGAGGCACACACACAAGTAACTTACTTATGAGTTTAGGTTTATGAGAGGTAAATATTGACTGTGATATAAAACAGGATCAAATGATAACTGGATGAACAGTGGCCCTTTCTGAAAATCCGTCAAGAGTGAAGACAGCGAGCGGGGACAGTTCTTACAGAATGACAGGGTTTCACAGCACAGTCTCTTCTCCCACACTGGTTGATGTCATTCCAGAAAGGACAGGGCTTCTTCAAGTTTACCTGTAAAAGGACAGCAAGTCACAAAACTATAAAGCCCTGAGAGTATAATGACTGCTGGGGTCACGATCCGAGGTTGTGGCGATGGCTTATCTATCCCAGGTTACACTCACTGGCTCTCCCATGACTTGTCACGTTTCACTGAGTAAATGTGTAGCTGGTGTAAACTGGTAAGCCTGGTTAGAGAGACACAGACTACCCAACAGACCCTGTGCGGATGGCAGCTGAGCTGGGAGTTAGGGCTCAGATGTGCACCACTCAGCTCCCATTTAAGCCGGAATCAGGGAGGGACTGTGGACCGGGTTGTTGAAGTTCTTTCAAGTGTTCTCATGGTCAGACACTGTGTTTAGTAAGTCCAAAAATGCCTCCTCTCAAAAAAAAAAAAAAAAAATCATCTTAATTGGAGTCCATCTGATGGCTGACAAAACAACATTTTGAGAACAATACAGCAATTTCTATTTTAACTTCAATTTAACCAGTTCATTTTGTTTCTAACTCTAGAAGTTATTGAAGTTAAAAATATCAGGGGGGAAAAAAGGTAAGAAAAAGAGCCAGGCAGTGGTGGTACCTTTAATCCTAGCACTGGGGAGGCAGAGCCTGGCGGATCTCTATGGGTTAGAGACCAGCCTGGTCCACAGAGGAAGTTCCAGGACAGCCAAGGCAACACAGAGAAACCCTGTGTGTGTGTGTTGGGGGGTGGGGGGGACAGTAGTATCAGGGCTGCATAGAGTTCAGCTGGTAAGGGGCACAAGGGCATGATTTACTTCCCAGATGCCACATACAAAGAAAGCAAGCGTGGTGGCAATGCTTGCAATCCCAGAGCCAGGAGTCAGAGACAGGGTGAGAGAAGGCAACCATCGCAGCCTGCCAGAGCTCAGGCCAGGAAGAAACTACGGCTACAAGACACCTGGACTGTACCCGAGAACAACATCCATGGCTGTCTTCAGGTCTCCTCATGCACATGCACACACACACACACACACACACACACACACACACACACACACACACACACACACTCCAATGGGTGGTTTCTCAACAGTCACTTGCGAATCAAGTTTTCCTACTAAACTTTGTGGACATTTGAAGAGTCAGAGGTAGCCCAGCCAGTGAAGATGCCGCATAAGCTGGGCTGGAGCCCACATAAAGGTCAAAGGCGAGAAGCAACTCCCAAAGTTTTCATCTTAGCTCCACGGGCACGCCTTGGCATGCACACATGCATGCATGCACGCACACGCCACATTTTTGTTTTGTTTTGTTTTGTTTTTCAAGACAGGGTTTCTCTATGTAGCCCTGACTGTCCTGGAATGCGTTCTGTAGACCAGGCTGGTCTCAAACTCAGAGATCCGCCTGCCTCTGCCTCCTGAGTGCTGAGATTAAAGGCGTGCACCATCACGCCCGGCTCACTAAATTTTCTTTAATTTTTTTAAACTTTGTAAACATTTAAATAATTACCAATTTTAGTAACAGTACCAAAGTTTGGTCATCTAAGAAAATATAATCATCCATTACAGCATACTTACATAAAAAAAAAAATTGAAAATACCAGGGCTGGAGAGATAGCTCAGAGGTTAAGGGCACTGGCTGCTCTTCCAGAGGTCCTGAGTTCAATTCCCAGCAACCACATGGTGGCTCACAACCATCTATAATGAGATCTGGTGCCCTCTGGCATGCATGCAGAACACTGTATACATTATAAGTAAATAAATCAGTAAAATAAAAATTGAAAATACCTTGTAATATCTAAAGTAGTCACTTTCAAGAAGTTTTTGTAGTCTTGGGAAAAGTCTGTAGTTATTAAATTTATCGATGGTCTCAACATCGCAGGTACAATCATCCAGGTAACCACTAACCTGTTACAAAGAAAATGAAATATTAGATTTAAATGTCCCAGATACCACACGATTCTTTTCCTCCTGTAGTTATTATTTAAAAAAAAAAAAAAAAAAAAAGCCTGCTACTCAGCAACCTTATCCTCCCACCCTGTCTTGGTTCTCTAGGCTGGAGAATGACAGTAATATTGTGATACTGTTGTTCTTGTATCTCTAGAGCAACACAGTGGCACTTCTACAGGGTCAGCTGAGCTCGGATGCACACAGAACTGGACCCCTCCAGGACCCAACTGACCTGACCAAAGGTTGGCACTAAGATGAAGAGGGAGCGCTGTGTCTCCCTGTGGCTGGACCAATGGACAAGGAAACTGAAATCCTATTTCCTGTTCCACCATGGGGGTTGGTGAGCACACGCATGCAGGCAGAACCAGATGCTACAGACTCTAGAGATGGTCTCCCACTGGCACCTGGTTATCACTGAGTTCTCCTGGGACTTGCTTTGTCTCTCATTTTCAGAGGCTATGGAGCTTGGTGAATGTATAAAAAGAAGTAATATCAACTAGCAAAACAAATAGTAACTCATCCTAAGACACTAACAGCCCCAACTACTGGGCCACAGCAGATTTCCTAGGTTTGGAAGGATGCTCAGAACTTACTTGTCCTAGCAACACTGGGGTAACAAACTGACCACAAATGCTTAGCACTGATTCTTGACCCTGCCTCTAGATCAAACTATTAAGTTTCTACATCAGGATATAAAGAGAAATTACAATCAGTCAATGTTACTGGCTGTGAAACTGAAAGCTCAGTAATTTATTTGGAGCTAAGCAAACACCTAATAAAAGTAATGGAACATTAAGTAACAAGTACATAATTGTGGTGGTAATCTAATTGTACTGAAATGTGATTTTGATTGTATGTTAATAAATAAAGTTGCCTGGGGGTCAGAGCTATTAGAGCCATAGCAAGAGTGTGGTGGTGGTGGCACACGCCTTTAAACCCATAGATCTCTGTGTGTTCAGGGATACAGCCAGCATTGGAGACATATGCCTTTAAGACCTAGGGGGCTGTACATTCAGACAGTGACGAGGCAGTCACGTGTTTGGGTTTACAACCAATGAGAAGGCAGAACAAAATACTATAAAAAGACAAACAGACAGGATATAGCTCTCTTTCGGGAAGCTGGGACACCGTAGGAGGAAGGGTGAGATTTTAGCTCTGAGCTCTGACCTCTCGGCTTTCTCTTTTACATTGTTTCTGTATTTTTTATTTAGTAAGATTGTTGGTTACATCTACACATAATGTTTCAAAAAAAAATAGAAAAAGAAAACACATCATCCTGCAGAAAAGAGAAGCTTGCAGTACTTTGGTGTGGTATGTTTGCACTATGAACCACATTGAAAATAAGGAAGTGGCCTCTCACTGAGGAGTTACCGACAGCTCCTACGGGAAAGTTTTCTTTAGGGATATGGTCCCTGGTAGGCGGACCATGCTCCATGGGCAGCCCCACAACCCATACACACAGCAGCACAAACTGACCTCAGTGACTAGTTTAAAAAAGAACATCCATGTCGGGGCAGTGGGGGTGCACACCTTTCATCCCAGCACTTCAGAGGCAGAGGAAGGCAGATCTCTGTGAGTTCGAGACCAGCCTGGTCTACAGAGTGAGTTCCAGGACAGTCAGGGCTTCACAGAGAAACCCTGTCTTGAAAAACAACAAAACCAAACAAAAAAGAATGTGTACTTCTTTTCCCGAGGACTCGTTTGCCTCCCAATGCCCCTATCAAGTGGCTCACACCACCTGCAACTCCAGCTCCAATGCTTTCTCGTGACCTCCCTGTGCACAGCACTCACATGCACACACCCCACACAGACATACACATACACATACTTAAAAATATCTTTTAAGAGCCAGGCGTGGTGACACATGCCTTTAATCCCAGAACTCGGGAGGCAGATCCCTGTGTGTTCGAGGCCAGCCTGGCCTACAAAGCAAATGCCAGGACAGCCAGGGCTGTTATACAAAGAAAACTTGTCTCTGTGTGTATATATTTGGTTTTTCATATACATATAATATACAGATATATTAAAAATAAGAAAGCAAGGCATAAAACCTTATTAAAACACCAAATTAATATTTCACCCTTGGACTATGTAAAATCCTATACTATCTTAATTTAAAAACATTGAAACTCAGTAGCAGAAACTTTTCACCTGAAACCAAGATATGGTAACAGCAATGTCCCAAAACTAACACTTTTTACTGATTTTTCTAGTCTTACTTAGTTTCCAAAAATCTGATCCACATACTCTGCCATGTCTATTTTCATCCCCTTTTGAATCTACAGGGATAGAAACCACCTACTACTTTTCACCTTTGATTCGAATGGTTAAAAAGAATGACATTGAAATAGCACAAAGATCAAACGGAGACCAGCAGACCAGAGACAGCGCGTCACAAAAGGAAAAGCAGAAAAGCCTGAGCTTGACGCCAAACGCCCCAGGAGCCCACTGCCTAGATGGAAATGAACTTGCAAGCCACGTCTAAGCACGGTCACTTTGGGGCCGGCTCTCCTGGGCGCTTCCAGAACATTCCACATAGTACTGCAGCATGAGAATACCTCACTTTCCTGACTCTATCTATCTTATCAATGAGAGTAGAAAATCCTTGAGTCAAAATGATGTTTGTTCACCTGTGTGATCCAGCCTGTAGCACTATGCTTCTGAAAACAACACAGCGGACCTCAGCGATCACTCACGGAGTGGGCTGCTGAATGAATGAGGGCTTCCCACTCTTTCTCCTGAGACACACACCATCGTCTCCACACCTGCTTGGTGCCCCAAGCTCAGGAGCACATCTGGCAGTAGCATGCTCACAAGGCAAGGACACAGGCACTGAGGCAACCTTCTGTGCCCCACATTCGGTCTACCCACATGTCATTCTAAAGTGCACCAGAGGAAGAAGCTCCAAGCCAGGAAGGAATGCAAGATCCCCCGGAGCAGAGGTGGCTCACAGCCAGGAAACCACAGAGGGAGGGACAGAAGGCTCACAAGTGGGAGACTTTTAAAACGTCTGCTCTTTACCCTTCATGTGGAATAGGCCGTATTCTTCACCATAACCACAGGCAGCAGGGTGACTAAGGACACAAAATAAAAAATGACAGGGTTTCAATAGAGACAAAGAGCTCAGGCTCAGTGAAGACAGAGACACTTGGAAATCCGCCAGCCAAGAGGCAAGGTAGAACTCTATCCTTGGAAGAAGTCTGGCAGGTGTGATGCCAGCCTAGTTCTAGAAACTAGAATAGGCACGTTACCAAATTAGTCACAAGGAAGGGCTGTGGCAGAAATGGCACCAACAGTACCCGCAGACTCTTAGAAACAAAAGAAAATCCTAGGACAAGAGCCAGGTGCTAGCTGTAACAAGCTGGGCCCGATGCTCTGCTTCAGAACATGCTCTGCTTCAGAACATGCTCCTGCTGCTCAGGTAACCACTGCACTACCCCCCACTGCAAAGCACAACCCTGCCTGTCACGGGAATCTACACTTTAACAAAAGCATCCTGTCTCCCTCCCAAAGCGGTGACCACCTACTGAAAGTGCACCCCCCTAGACTCCAAGTGATAAGCAGCTCGGGGTAGGAGCCCAACTAATAATTGAAGGTAAAAAGGCCCACACTGAAGGACAGTGGGTGTTGGGAGATATTTGATTACACTGTGTAAAGATATGTCACTCTGATTTATTTAATAAAAAGCTGAATGGCCAATAGCTAGACAGGATTTCCGGGCACAGAGAGGACACTGGGAAACAGGGAGGAGACAAAGGAGACTTGGAGGAAGCAGGAAAGCAAGATGGACAGTATGTAGATGAGGTAAATGAGCCTCAGGGCAGCACATAGATTAACAGAAATGGGTTATTTAAGTTAGAAGAGCTAGCTAAAAACAAGCCTAAGCTATTGGCTGAGTTTTCATAATAAGTCTCCGTGTCGTGATTTGGGAGCTAGCTGGCAGGTCAGAGAAACACTTGCTACATGTAGGTAGACAGGAGGACCTATGTAGCCTAGCACATAGCCAGACCCAGTTTAAAGATCTAGTCTGTGAGAGCTGCAAAGCCTCTCGAGGTACCGTGGCAAGCTCCCGAAGAGCAGACCCTCCACAGCCACCAAGCTCTACAGTTAGGCCTGTTTAGATTTAAAACCCATCTCTGTCACTGTGTTTTCCATAAAATAATAATTTCCATCTCACGGATTTGGTATCAGGATAATAAAGAAATTAAATGCCTAAAAACAAAATGTTCAATCTCACTATTTATGAACCCAGCTCTGCTTAAATGCTCTACCACTCTCCAAAGCAGCCCACATTTCCTTAATGAAAAGGAAAATACAGGCCGAGTTTGCAGTCCAAGTTTCTAATGGTGGACTATTCCAGTAGTCCCACTGGAATAAGGGACCAGATCACAGAAAACTAGCATGAGGCAGGGGGTGGAGCGCTCAGGTACTTTCTCCACTGACTACAGCTGATTTAGTCAAATGCAATAGGCAAGAAAAGATACGTTTAATCACAAATATGTATAAACATAACCTGCTGAGTCCACCTTTGTGAATGGTATGTAAATGGTTCCAAGGCTGGCCACTCTGTGTTGGACAATACAAAGGGCTTATTCTTGAAGGGAGAGGTATTAAATTCACAATAAAAGACAAACCAAACCAAAACTACAACAACAACAAAAAAAAAAACCCTCCCAGTTGTCTTATGTACAATACTAAGAAAGTCTAGCCTAATCATAGATCAGCATTTTATTCAGATTCAAAGTAGTGTAGGACTGTATTTCTCATATTTGTTTTTTATGAAACTCTTTTTTCCAAGTGTCAATTAAGAAAAAGAAAGAAGACAGAGAAAGAAAAAAGAAAACCTAAAATTATCAGTATTCTCAGATCTTATGCAGTATACACAAAACTTAAGAACGCCACAAAAAAGAAAAAAGCTCGAATTATTAAATAAAGTCCAGGATACAAAAATTAAATCA